TATTTATGTATATAATTATATATAATATCTTTTTCTTCTAAGAAGTAACTGATACCTTGAGCCCACTTTTCAAGTAAAAAGATACATTTTGAATTTTATTTGAATCTCAAGAATTAAAGAAAATATCCACTGTGAAAACCATTTCTTGCAAACTGTATCATAATAATTTGTTAAGAAACTACTTGGAACAAAGAATGAGGAAAAATATCTTGAAAGTTAAATTCCTTCCCTAAAAACAAACAAACAAACAAAAAACCCGCTTAGCTTTATACCGAAGCTAACACAATACAGAAAAAAAAATGTCTGCAACATCATCGTTTAGCTTTCTGAATAATTAATAAATCGGGCTGTTTTCTTTTGGCAGGATGGGAAGCACAAAATTCAAGAGGAAAATGTTAAACTAAAAAAGCCCCTGGAAGAAAGCCACAGGTGTTTGTTAATAAAGTATTAACTAAGATATAAAGTTATTTTGCATTGATGGGAAAGAGGGAGCTTTTACTATACATTGGCAATGACACAAGACTGGACATTGACTTGTAATATTAATATTTTAGAAAGATAATTTGAAAGGAAAGTGAGTAAATAATAAACCAAGTAAATATTGTAACATATTAAACTAAACCCATTTAGTCCATTTGAGAAAAAAAGAAGGGTGATCAAACTGGCCTGACTCTTAGCTGGTTAATCCTAAAACTCCAATTATCACTTAAAAGTATTTCTAATCTTTGCTGGATTGGTATCACAAGATAATGAAGCATAAGTCATAGCACTTCTGAGGTTCTTAATGCACTTGAGTATAATTTGTTTCCACCTGTGTGCTAAGGCAGCTGTGTTTCAAATCCTCTAATGCCCCTATTTCCTTTCTCTTCAGGGTCTCAAACAGTTGGACTTTATTCCTTTTTCTTAATTCTTCATCTGATTTGCTCACTATGAAGAGCATAGGATTGTTTCCAGTAAATTGACGTTTAACAATTATGTATATTAGCATACAGGTATATAACAAAATATTATATAGTGCCACTGCATTGAAAAAACAAAATAGGTCCAACTACTTGAAATTCTGGAAAAGGCAAAATCATGGAGACAGTGGTTGCCAGGGGTATGGATGAATGAATAGACAGAGCACAGAGGTTTTTTTAAGACAGTGAAAATACTCTGTATAATACTATAGTGATAGGTACATGTCATTATACATTTGTCCAAACCCATAGAATGTACAAACCAAAAGTGAACCCCAGGGTGAACTATGGACTTGGAGTAATCATGATGTGTCAACGTAGGTTCATCAGTTGTAACATCGTGTACCACTGTGGTGCAGAATGTTGATATTGGGGGAGGGTAGGAGGGTGAGTGGAATATATGGTAAATCTACTTTCTGCTCAATTTTCCATGAACCTAAAACTGCTCTAAAAATATTGTCTATATAACAGCCAAAAAAAAATAAAAGGTTAGTAATAAGGAAAGATATCTTAGAAGGGTTTTAAGGGAACTGTACAGTGTAGTTTTTGGAGTCTGTCCCTGTCCAGGCTTTAATGCCTTAAGAATGATTCCAAAGTCTTTAAATTTTTTCCCAAAGAGTATGGTCCAATCCAGGACCAACCTTAAACTACAGTTCTGCATGGGCCATAGAAGGGAACTAGAAAGGCCGTAAAATTAACCAGGACCTGAAA